GCAACTTGGACCTGAACCGCAACTGTATATGCAAATGAACATGGATTTTTTGAAAAACGACCGTTCCAGCAATACTTTCAATTTTTCAGTGAACTCGAAATTTGCATATTTTCAAAAATTCGTTTGCAGCTCGGACCTTAATCGCAATCGTATATTTAAATGAACACAGATTTTTTGGAAACGACCGCTCGAGCAATATTTCTACTTTTTAGTGTTCTGGAAATTTGCATTTGTCATTTTTTTTACAAAGCGAGCATTTACCGAAAAAACGACCGGACTTCATGCAAAAAACCGGTAATCATGCACCTGTATGTCCGTGCGGCTCTATAATGACAACCTTCATCCCAACTGAAGCCCTTTTTCCTGCAAGCTCTTTCGCGCCCCCGTCACTCCTCTAGGAGCTCCACTCCCCTACCCTCCCACCCCCACGGCTGGTCTCCCCACCTCTCTGCCCCAAAAAACCCATCCTGGACCTACCTATGCCGTCCACAAACACAACACCGCTGCCTCCGAGCGACCCAGAGAGGCAATAATTGCCTGCCTGTGCGACCGATCACGTATGCAATTCACGTAAAAATGCATACGTGATCGGTCGAATTGGGAGGAAAGCTGCGGCCGCCGTGGTGTGCCTCCTCAAGTGACGTAGGATGAAAGTGGAAGGGGTTGGTGACGACGGTTTGGGTGTCAGAGGTCGTCCTGGGGAGCGGCAAGAGGAAGGAGGGAGGGAAGAGGAGCTTGGGATATTGGGAAAAAGCTGGCACCCTGTCTGAAGCGGGACGACGAGGGCAACGACTGTGAGGGAAGAGAATTGTCTGGTTTTTACGCAGAACAAATAAAAGGTAGTCAGTGAGATCAACGCGAGCACAAATCATGCACTACCTTCATCCCAACCGGCGAAATGCAGTGGTAGTTGGAAATCAGACGTGTATCAGTTCACCTCATCTCCAGAACCGAGAAAGCTAGGAAGTTGAAGTTGTCCTGATCATTGTGCGAGGTAGCGATGGGCCGATAATTCATCGATTTGCACAAATGATTAAACCCCGCCTTCTGCTGAATGGTGGCATAATGTGGAATCCCCTTCTTTCTTTCCCATTCCCCTCAATGAGAGACGGTACTTCGAAGTTTGATGCAAAAACGCATGATCGCACCAGCTCGCCTGGTGCGTTCCAACCTGGGTTTACATCATTACTGTTTCATACATTTTGCGTAGTAACATGTTATTATTCAGTTGTTTCATATTTCATGCTAAGCGTTTTTACGCCCACTTTTTATCACTTACTGAAAAGGTTATATCTCCCAAGTCTGAGGGTATCCGGACGACTTTGCGCCGACGAACCGCACTCAACCCACGAAAAAAGGCCAACGCACTGCGCCCACTCAGAACCGAGACTATTTCTGCTTGCAGCTCTACAGGCTACAATTCCTACATTTTTGGGCAGGTTCTGGAGCTATCGTGGTAGTCGAACAGCGACCCGACAAGGAGCTTATTGGTTCTAAAATCCGGGATGGACAGATCAGAGTGCTCACGATAACAAACAAATTTCATAAAATAACAGCAATGAAAAATCAACGAAAATATACAGAATGGTCGGCCGGAAGTTATCAATTAAGATCATACTACTAATTTCACCGGTCAATTAAATCAAGATTTTGAGATCCACTCATAAAAAGATAAATCTCTTTAACACAACAGAACAGAGAGATAGAGATTGTGCTCAGGTCTGGCTTTTTCCATGTAAAAGAAAATGAAATAATAAGCGATAAACATTTTGTTGATCGCTGGTTTAAGTAATAATGGCATATTCCATCCTAAAATGTGCGCTAGTGCCCAAGCTACTGTTAATTCAACCAAAATACACAACTTAATTTTTTTATTATGAGAAGTTTACAAAATTCCCCACTGTGTTTGGATTGCTGACAGGGTTTCCGAAAAATCGGGTATTTGCTGTGCAGATTTTCAAAAGGTTGGATAAATTATTAAGATTTGCTTGGCTAATGCAAGAATAAGGTTTTTGGTTTCTGTTCGGCTTGAAAAAACGTCGAATAATCAGAAGACTTGAAAAGTATTCCCTTCCACCATCCCGTCCTAGATTGTTCGTCTCAGTATCATCGAATTATAATATTTCCCATTGTTCTGAGAAAACAAACAAGCCTTCGTAAGGCCCAACTTGCTAGTAACAAAAACTATCTCCACATATAATGGCATATCAACTTTGGCTCCAAAAATCCTGAATTTCAGAGCACTGTTATAATTTTGTTCTTAGCTAGCCAAGCGAGAGGTAACAACACACTTTTTTAGCATAAAAATATGGTGAAGAAGATTAAAAAAAAAAAAGGTTTTGCTAATGTTTCGATTAGACCATCTGGACTACTCAATTGGAACAGATATCGTAAAATCTGAGATATACCCTTAGTGATCCGCTCAAAAAAAACGAACAAGTTTATTCGAATGAATAGATACTCAGTATTTTACTAAAATTCTATTTTTCTATTCGTTTTTTATTATGTGCGTTCAAATAACACGAGTAAGCACAGAAAATGAAGTGCTGATGATGAACAAGACGAATAAAAGTACCGTCCGATCATAGCACAGTTTTGTTGAGATTGGAGAAGCCAATTCCCACACAGGTCATCAGTGCTTTTTCATCAGAACCCAATTTTTGTTCATTCTCTTTGCATATCTTCTTCCACTCGTCAATTTTGAACGTTATTTCAAAATACTGTTTCAAGTGCCGCAACGTTTGCACACTAAAAAAATAAAAAAAATTACAGAAATGATATCCCTGCCAAGTACCATGACATTATTCTCTCGTTTTAATGAGGAAGTGCACAGTATTTGGAGAGCGCTTTCTCAGCGCCGAACTAAATTGGTTTATGCTATAAGTCAGGCTTCATT